TTCTGATTGCTATTTCCATATTGAAGAGGCATTATGTTCAAGTATTATTGGTCTTTGATTTGGGCATCCATTTCCTGCATCTACAACAGCCCCTGCCATATGCATATGCGATGATTGAAGAAAGCTATAAATGTTGGGCACCATTGGAGTCAGCAAGTTGGTTTCCTACGTGACATGGTTTCTATAATTTCTGGTCCTAAAGTGTGAAGGAGTCCACTTGTTTTGTATATAGATTTTTGGTAGCATTTTGCTATGCATTATGCAGAAGCACAGCTTTCTTCATCCAGACTTTCTTATCTAACTCGTATCTCATTTAGGTTTCCTTTCTATCTGGTTAATATTCATCATGACAATCTTGCTGATTCGTAAACTTGATCCATGACAGTGAAACAGGTGGATCAGATGATGAATATGAGAATGGAAATGAAAGAAGTTGTTCATGTGTGATTATGTGATCAATTACCAGAGTTTTGGCGGCGCCCAAGTTTTCACAAGATGCCTGGTACATCCCTTGAATTTGCTACTACTAACAGAGGTCATCTGCTTTCTCCCTGGATCAACTGATTTTTGTTGAAGAAGAAGAGTAATTGAGTGCATATGAAATGCTACCATAGCAAGGAGTTCTGCATCCGACCACGCATCCATAGTGAATTCATGAGAAGTTCTATATCCGGCCACGCCTGTTGGACTCTGATCATTTGTGCCTATATTCAATTGATGAGGATTTCAATTTTGTTACTCTATTCTTCACGCTGTTTTATCACCTTATTCTTGTTACTTGTGATTGCCCTGCCCATTGTTTTCTCAATGAATGTCTCATGTTATTTTTGGCCATTTATTGGTAGTTTGATGGATTAGCTTGTATGCTCCCATTTTGTGATATTATTCACCTTTACCATTTTTATTCAGTCTTCAGACTAGCGAGAAAGCTTTTCCAGGAATCACAGCAATACGAGACCAAGTTGAACTGATTCTCTCCTTTTCTATTTATTTCGAGGATAGATTTAAGTGCTCTGAGAACAACCCGAAAGGAATTACTGTGTGACCAGATTAAGGCATGAGAAGAGAATACAATAATTTGGTAGTTGAATTTATTCAAGGTTTTAGTCACGTTTGCCGGTCAAACTCTGGTACGTGCTAGCTTTTTAGCTTGTGCTAGTTTTGATTTATTTTGGTTTTTTTTTTTCAGCCTAAAAAAGTACCAAGGCAATAGGAAGTCAAAACTTTATGCATAAGGTGAAATACTTTTTATTAAGAATACTTTAATTATGATCTTTTAAACAATATATTTTAAAAAATTAATATTTAGACGCAGCATCGATTTGTGTCAACAGATTGTGAGGTAATTCATCTTAGATCATGATAAAGGTATATAACCTGCATCAAAATAAATTAAAATTTTTATTTGTAATGAATTAATTATTAAAAGTTGAAAGTAAACTTATATTAGTAGAAGGCATAACAGTGCAAGCCAGGTTAATTTTTTTTTATCATATGTAAAACAAAGTTAAAGGCCAATTTTTTTTAAAACAGTAAAAGAAATTCAAAACCCCAAGTGATTGAACGGACTGTTTTTAATAAGTTTAAATAATTTAATAATAAAAAGACAATCCTCTAATTTAATTTAATTTTTTAAAATCATAATATATGTAATCTCAAATGGGCTCAATAATTGAGCTATTGTCCCAAAAAAAAAACTCAAAAAATAATATTAACTTATGTTAATTTATTAAATTTATGACCCGAGTTATTTGATCATAAATATCAAATTTAAAAAACTTTAAAATTTAATTTTTAATTAATTAAATATTAAATAATTGAATTATATATATAAAAAATCAATCACAAAAAGATAAAACTTTTTTAGTAATTATATGAAGAAAAAAAGCTCTAACCCACCCAAGTCAACTCATCACACCCATCTATTAAGTTATGCTATTTGCTAACTTAATAAAAAGAAAAATCACCAAAGTTATTTTTAAAAAAAGACACCCATTGTTAGCTTATAAAATTCATGACTCAAGCCATTTGATCAGAAATATCAAATATTAAAAAATAATAAAACTTAATTTTTAAAAAATCAATTATTGACTAATAAAAAAATCAACCAAACAAAAGAATCCAAAAGAAAAAAGAGTAATTAAAAGCCATGAAAAAGATGAAAGCCAACACAAATTAACCTTTCAACCTCATGGGCTAAGTTATGAGATTGAGTAACTTGATAGAAAACAAAACAAAAAAAACCACAAAGCCTATTTTCTAAAAAAATCTATGTCGAGTAATGACAAAAAAAAATCTAGAAAAAAGATGTCAACCTGTGTTAGCGTATAAAACCTGTGTTCCAGGTCATTTGAACATAAGCATCAAACTTGAAAAAACCACGAAGCCTAATTTTTAATAAATAAAATTGAAAAAAATAATGGTACAAAATGATCCAAGAGAAAAAAAAATAGTAATTTAAAGAGCGATGATCAAATTGTTTTAAAAAAATAAGATGATGAATAAATTTGGATCGAGGGTTAAATTAAATAAAAAAAATATAAATACACAAAATAACTAAAAGAAGAAACCACCAAAAGAATGACTAAATTTTAAAAAATAATAAACTAATTTTTTTTATTAAAGGATGAAATTCAAAAAAAAAAATTGAAAGTTTACAAAAGAAGCATAAAAAAAAGAAATAAAAAGAATCACGACTAAAATTAAATAAAATAATAATAAATTTAAATTTAATGATAAAATCAAAAAATTAAAAACCTACAAAATGATGAAGGATTAAAATTATAAATTAAAAAAATAAACACCGAAAGTCAAATGCACACAACTAAGGGAATTGCCCTAAAATTTCAAATGGTTATTGCGAATTTCAAGTGAAGAAAAAGAAAGAAAAACACATTGTCGATGGCAATCCTCCAAGAAACAACCAACTTATATAGTCATAATCTCTTAAAAAGAGAACACCGCTAGAAGTTTATTGACACAATAAAAGAAAGTTTTTCATAAATAGAGTAAGTTCCATGTGCTTCTCGAAGGCAGCATAGTAGCAAACACTCTAATGCAAGCAACATAATATATTTTTATTTTTTGTTATAATTTTGTTTATCAAATTATTACATTGTCCTAGGATCAAATAATTACTATGAAAAAAACCTTGATAAAATTAAGCAAAATCCCTTAAAGCCATATCTTGAGAATTTTGAATTTACCATACAAATAAATTAAGAGAAAAACAAGTTGTCCCTTGAAAAACATAGAAAGAAAAATGAACCTTGTGAAAATAATTTATTCCCTCCTATGAAAGTTCAATTAATATCTTTTTGAGGGCAAAACCATAAATTTACTATTATAATCCATAATCAATCAAGGTATGTATTATAGTACTTTTTCCCATATGTTTTAAGTTTTTATAATATTTAGTGGTGGTCTGTATTTAGACCAAAAATCGGGGGTTTCTCCAAATCTAACTTTCTCACTTACATGTTTATTTGATATTGTAGAGTGGAGTGTTTTTTAATTGAAAATATTTTAAAAAATAATATAAAAAATATTAATTTAATATTTTTTTAGATGATAAAATATTTAAAAATTGTAATAAAAAAATTACTTGTATACTAAAATGTGTGAGATTTTCTTTCTACATTTGTCATTGTACAAAATTTTGTTTTTTTGGTTTGGTTCTCAAATTTTATTTTTAAGCGATGAAGTTCTATTTAAAGAGTACTTAATTTCAAATTCTTATGAATAGTGGGATTGGAAGATGGGGACCAAAATAAAAAAGGTGACAAACATAGGTGATATACCATAAGTTTTAAAATATTCATTTCGGTCCTCCAACTTAAATAATCATGCAAATTATATAATTACTGTCCCTCTAAATTGTTTCAATTACATTTTGGTAGGTTTATGTTTGTTATTTTTTTTGTTATTTTTTCCCTTATTAAGAGAGTAGAGAGGGGTCGCGTGAATTCCAGTGGTAGAGAGAAAAATTTATTGTTAGTATTAATTTAGGTTATCAAAATAAAAGATTTTTATGTTAAATTGTTCTATTTAATGCGGGAGTTCATATTAAGTGTTTTTATACCTTAAAAGTTCGTGAAAAAATAGATTTAAACTCGGGTTGAGTTTTGTTTTTTGGGAGGTGTTTTAGGTTTTTTAAGGCTATAAATGGATTTGTCATGGTTTCTAGGGTGTTTTGTAGTTATTTTGGATCAAAAACATGTTAGAAAAAGAAAAAAAAACAGACAAAACTTCCTCTCTTTTATTCTGTGTAGAGAGCTTCTTTTAAATAATATTAATTTTTTTATGTGTTTATTTTTGTAAAGGTTTTTCTGATTCATCTATGGTTTTATTTTTATCTTTTATATAGATAAACTATATTTTTTAAAATAAAAAAATATTTATTTTTAGATGATATTTTTAATATGTGCAACTTTACATGTTATTTTTTTTCTTTTTATTTTATTCAATCAATTTAATATTTTATTTTTTAAAATTAAATATCTTAATCTATGTCATTTACATAAAAAAGTTGAACATTAAGTATTTCAACCTTAACGATTATTTGTTGAAGTTTTGTTTTTGAATATTATTAATGATTATTTATTTATTTATTAAAACATATAATTTTTAATTTATTTAATTACATGTATATATAAATTTTTTAATTTATTATATTTTTTAATAATAAAAATATATTAAAAAAATTTACATACATAACTTTTTATAAAAAATAAAAATATTTAATCCATAACAAACCACGTTTAACATAGTTAATGTGTTTGCAAATATAATTGTGGTTATTTTTTAAAATATTTTGATATTGAAATATATCAAAATAATATATTTTTTTTTAAAAAAAATTATTTTTAAAATCATTACAATAAAATAATACAAAACACTCAAAAATAAATTAATTTTTAATGATAAATAAATAAATTTTACCGCATTCCCAGACGCACACGAGGCGTCAAAACGAAAAACTGGAATCTTTCTTACACGCTGTGATTTCTGGTGAGCGAAGAGAAGAGGGGCATGCCGGTAACATCCCACATGCTTGAGTGGCTGCGAAGCGCCATAGTCACCGGTCCTTCGAACTTGGCCGCACCTTATCCACACACCTCTTCTCTTCTGATTCTGAGAACACCTCACATACACAAAATCCCTCCTAAACCGGAAAAAAAAACAAGAAGAAGTAGAAACCCACGTCTGCACAGAAAAAGAAACAATTATCCTATTGAGAAAGAATTGAGTGAGAGAGAGAGAGATTTAGCAGTTGGATTAAGAAAGAAGAGCAGGAAAAAATGTCAGTGGCATCCTCAATTCCGTACATCAAAATCCCAAACCCTTCATCATCATCATCATCATCTTGCTCCTCTCTATCTTCCTCTTCATCAACCTCCTCGACATCTTCTTACTATAGGTTTTCAACAACAACTAAGCCTTATATTGTGACCATAAGGAGCTCTCAAGCTGAAGGGCCTGTAAGGAGACCCGTGGCCCCTCCTCTTAGAGAACCTTCCCCGCCTGCATCACCATCGCCTCCTTTGAAGCCCGTTCCTCCTTCTTCACTGTCTTCTCCAGTGGCCCCCCCACCCAAGCCAGCTGCTAAGGTGGCTGTGGAGGACAAAAATGTGATGACTTTGGAGTTTCAGAGACAAAAGGCTAAGGAGCTTCAAGAATATTTTAAGCAGAAGAAGCTTGAGGAAGCAGATCAAGGTCCTTTCTTTGGGTTCTTTGGCAAGAATGAGATTGCTAATGGGAGGTAAGAAGTTTTGTTTTTGTTTTTTTTTGTTTTTATCCTGTAGCTTTCCCTGTGCAATTTGGATTTTTTGGAAGTTTAGGTTATCTGGGTTTACGCCGATACTTCATCTTACTGGATAGATTCGTGGGTGTTTCCCCAAGTTGACGGTTACATGGTCCTGAATAGTGAAATTGAACGACTAGGCCAATCAAAATGATACATTGTTGCAAGTGAGGTTCTAGCCTAGCGGTGGGAGGGGCTTGTCCCCTTCCTCCGCACCTGGGTTCGAACCTCACCATGCACGCCTGTCACCCCCGCGGTGCCTTACCTGCTCACTGGGCTTGCAGGATGTTCAGTGGGCCGTGGGGATTAGTCGTGGTGCGCGTAAGCTGGCCCGGAGTAAATCAAAAAAAAAAAAAAAAAAAAAAAAAAATAAAAAAAATAAAAAAAAAAAAATGATACATTGTTCGTAGAGAAAAGAGAAGTGATGATATGGCTTCTTCCCACTAAAACTGGCTTAAAAGTAGTTAGTTTCTTGCCAAATTAGTTTCTGTCATCTTCGTAGTAAGAACAAATAATAAGAGCCTATGCAGGAGAACCTTGGAATGATCATATCAGCAAGAATGCCTCCCTGAATAGATAACTGAAAGTATTTCAAACCCATTGTTCTTTAGCCTTTGAAAGGAAAAGAGTGCGCATTTTTCCTTTGTAGATTGTGCTTAAATATAGTCTCCTTCAAGTTAATGCTTCTCACGACGTTGTGACCCCTGTAAAGTTCACTATCTTGGTGATTTTCTATGCCTAACCAATCAGTAGTGCTCGAGGCAAGGCGGTGCGGGTGGTACGCATCCATTGCACCACAGACTTGCAAAAGCTTCTTTTGAAGCGAGAAAGATGTTTTTTCACTCTCATGTTTACCCCTAGTTTTTCTTTATTTTTGTTCTGCAAGTGTTTCTTTTCTTTTTCCCTTTCAAAAACCAGCTCTTCCCTTTAAATTGTAATCTATTCGTTTGGAGTTCCAGCATAATCCTTCATAAGGTTTCTGCAGACTGTTTGTAATTTATCCTGCGCTGACAAATTAAAAAAAAATCCCTCCTTTCCCAACTGAAAGAGAAAATGCGTTCACATATCTTTTCATGAAAAATTAAAGCTCTACGTGATCTGATGCCGCTTGCATTTCCGGTTGAGCAGATGGGCAATGTTTGGTTTTGCTGTTGGGATGCTAACAGAGTATGCAACGGGCTCAGACTTTGTTGATCAAGTAAAGATTCTTCTGTCCAATTTCGGGATAATAGATCTGGAATAACTTCACGCTTGATCTCAGAGCCATGGATACCTTTTGATCTCTGCAATTGCCTTCTTCGTCCTCAAAGACACCTATACGTTTTGATTTCTGTAATTTCTGTAGCATATACATTGTTTTGCAACTCCTTCGGTGATCTATATTATCTCGACTTCAATAGACAACATCCATTTTTATACATCATGAAGAAGAGGTTGTTTCAGCGACAATCGTTCGCAAGTGGAGTGCTATCATTGCATACTGTTCATAATCAAATTCCGCCTGCTCATCCCATTATTGATGAAATTGGGTAACATACATTCTGTTTCTCATCCCTCTGCTATTATTTTCTGTTTCAATTATTCATCATTGTAATCCAGGGCTTAGTTTTTCCCTTAGTTTGATATGACTTTAAAATTATAGTTTCCACTTTAAGTTAGAAGCATGTTTGATAAAAATAAATTTAAACTTTTTTAAAAAAAAAACATAGTACAAGTTAGAATCCATAAGTTAAAATTAGAAAATTTAACTTCTAACCAAATTAAAAATTTGACTCAATTTTATAACAATTTTTTTTATTTAAATTAGAAGTTATTTCTAACTAAATATACTTAATAGTTTTTCTGTAAGTTAAAAGTAAAAAAAAAACAAAACTTAAAGCAATTTATACAAATCATATAGAACATAACCTTAATTTCTGCCATTAAACTTAATTTATCATCTGTTAAATCATGAACAAGCCATCAACATCTGGAATAAGGAAACTAGACCTGCTCATTATCCAGATTCCAGACGGAAGCCCCTTTCTTTTTTCTTTGGTTCTTTTTGTCTTTTCGTGTTCAAGTCTGTTACACCATTTGCATGGAAAAGGTTGAACGTTAAGAGTTTCACTGAGGCTGGATCTCTAACGCTCCACGAGCAACCTTCAAAAGTATAAAGGAGATCGACTTGCTTGTTCTGTTAGCTGCAAGAACCATTTTCCAGCGAGTTGTCAACCTGTAGAAGGAACTTAAGAACCATTGGAAAACATTCTTGCACCTAAAATGGCCACCAGGAGATCACCAAAGCCTTCAAATTTTTGTAGCAATTTGCAATTTGGTCATGCATGCCATCTGCGGTTCTCCTGCAGTAGATGGTAACTGATCATTCCAGCACCTTGCTCAGAAAAAATAGCTAGCATAACTAGCATAGTAGCATGTCAGCTTGTGAAGGTGTGAATTTGCAGAATATAATCATCCTCATAACCTAAAGGAAGATAAACAATCTAGCATCATAATTGGTAATTGCCATTCAGACAAAAGCCGTAATAAGCGGATACATTAACAAATACCAGGTCCCATAACTTAGTCCTCCCTGCGGGCCATCTTCTACTCTAGTGGACATTAGGTATTTGTATATATAGTCATCTTTCCGCCTTTTATGTGGGCACAAACATTCTTCATTTTATGAAACACATTTTCCAGTGTATCTCATTAAGAGCAGCGCAGATACAAGCCTGAGACTAATGAGTGAATCATCTCCAGAATTCATTTACATACAGCATATGCAAGAGTGACCAAAAACAAAGCACACACTACACGCATTCCCTTTTGCAAAAAGAACATCTTCGCCTCAAGCCTTTCCACTCGAGCCTCAACATTTGCCATCCGTGCCTCCAATAAAGCTACCCGAGCCTCCAACCTTGTATCTACATGCCCTGTGTTATTTCTAGTACGTTGTTCATAATCTTCAATTTGTGCTGAATCATCTTCCCATGGTCGATACTGACACATTTCAATTCATGGAGTTTACTGCAACGAGAGATGAAAATTTGCTAGTTTGTTATCAATGCAATACATCATGACATCCCAAAGTGTTTAAACCTGCTTATAAAATATATCTTTAAAACTTCTCTCATCAAGATGATATTAAGAAACGGCCATTTCTCATGTTCTGTTTATCAAGAGTGACTCTAACCAAACTGATCTCGGCCTCATGTTAATCTGTATCAAGCAACAATAAAAAGAATTCTACTATAAACCCACTCATGGAAACAAAGAAGTAGGATCTCCTAAATTTTTAGCATAAAGCACCCAAAATACAGCTAGAATGGCTACCGAACCAAAATTATATCCAGTCAATAATGTGTGGTATCAGGGTTAGCTTTAAAAAACCCAGCTCTTCATATGCAAGTTTTGAAGATTCAATAGATGAAGCTATTAAACGGGCTTCACAGCAACCCACAAACGTTCATTCATCAGAATAACATTCTTTATCTCCCTTCAAACTAATGGCATATGCCATTGCCCAGTCCGTTTCTGTCAAATGAGAATGTTATGTTTTAGTTTAGCTAAACTTAGCAAACCATACCGAAGCTAAGAGCTTCATCTCTTGCCGGGACAACAAAGTCTAAAAAAAAAAGAAAGTAAGAGAGGTTTCAAAGGATGAAAATACAATTAAAACCTAGAAACCTAAAAAATAAGAAAAGAGAAACAGCTTCATCCTAGCAAAATATTTTGCACGAACCCAATTTTTTTATCCAAATCCCTGCTGACAATCTATTACTACCAACACACATAAATCATAAAGGAAAGAAAGAAAAGCATACCTCGACGACGCAGAGAATGATGGCCGAGATTCTTCTTGACGCGAAATCCCCAGAGAGAATTATTTTTTTGGGCTGTCAAAACCCTAGAGAAATCATTGGATTGGAGCTTGTACCAGGAAAGAAAGGACGGGATTAAAGGGGGTGACGGTCAGGTGCTAAATGCTGATAGCCGTCGCTACCTTTTTAGTGGCAGCCCAACGCTGATCTCGGCCATATCAGACAGGGCCTCTATTTAGGAGGAAGTTTCTGCGAACACGGGTGACCGTGCATTTCTTAAAAGTTTGATTTTTTATTTATAATTAATTAATTATAAATTATTTTGAAGTGTTTATACTAAAAATAAATTTTAAGAACTAAAAAAATATTATTGAAATATGTTTTTATATAAAAAATAACTACTATTATAATATTAAACATCCATTTAATCAACCCATTAAATGAGTGGAAAAATCCACCTAGTCCAGTTCTATTGAAGTCGGTTTTTTTTTTTCTTTTTTATTATTATACCTATGGTATTCATTGGCATGTAACTAACCGGTATTCATTGGCATGTAACTAACCGTACTCTGTATTATTTACTATCTTATACTTTATCCGTTTAAATTTAGTAATATGTATTGGTTCATAATTATATATTAAAATTGATGTGATTTTCATTATTATTTTTATTTGTTTAAATTATTTAACTCATATCAATTTTAATATAATTGCCTTCAAAATATATGGTTTAATTTAAATAGATGGAATATAAAATGACGGGTGTTCCTAGAATACTGGAAATATCGAGTTAACCCCGTACCCTTTCTGGCTTGAACTCGATTTTAGCTGATTAATGACATGCAAGATACTTGCATATATTAATTTGTTACGGGGCATTAAGAAAGAAAATTACAAATAATAATTGGGAGAATTTATAGAAACAAACTATAAAAATATAAATTTAGTTATAAAAAGGAACTTGAATAAATCTAGATGTCTAATATATTAGAAAAGATAAAATAAAGAAAAACATGTGCTTTATGTAAGTTGATTGGTGTTGACTCAATTAAAAGAACTTTACCACTTAAAATTAAAATTTTAAGTTAACAGGTTTGAATTCTGTAATTGTATTCCATGGTTACAAGAATATTAATATGATGAAATCCCACAAATATTAACATAATGAAATCCACTTCAAATAGTAGTTTAACTGAAGAGAAAATCAAATAATTTAAATGTAAAGTAAATTTAATAATTTAGAAAAAAATAATATTTACATTCTATCAATTATATTCATGAATTGAAATTTCTAGATAATAAAACATTTTTTATACATGTTTTTAGTTTATAAAATTGAAATTACAAGCTTACTTAATTATCTCCTAGAAAGTTATTGTCTATTTTTTTATTACCTACAAGTTTTCCTGAGAATTTAATAAAATTCCAGTTCAGTAATTTAAATTTTTATTGAATTATATGAAGATCTTTATTGCTATATGTCATATATGGTCAAGTAATATCAACCGCTAATAATTTGTCATTCTTTAGAGTATTTTATAAATATGTATATCAACCATTAATAACCTCTTATCCTTTTTTTTTTAGAGTTCTTTTTACAATCTTATTTTTCAACCAGAGTTAGTGCTGTTTTTTAATTAAATGTTTACTTATATACACTTTCCTTCTTCTTTATATATATATATCCAAAAAATTTATGGTATAACAACATGTTAACATGTTATTAGTTATATGTTATATTCAATACTTGGACCAAGAAAGGCCATGCATAAGGAAAGTATTCAGTAAATTCATTACCAACACCACAAGGGTCAGAGAAGCTCAAAATGGAAAGCGGCTATGTGGGAAAAGGAGGATATCGTTTGTCATGAAGATCAACTGGGTAGAGATACTCTGGCAGGGCTACATTAGCATGAACAACCATCTAGAAAATATAATGGTGATCGTGCTGTTAGCGGTGAAGAGAGGAAATTGAGTGACATATATTGTTACTTATTTTTGAGTTTAAAAATAATAATTAAAAAAACAAATATATATTAAAAAATATTTAGAAGAAATCTAAAAAAATAATATAAGTGAAAAAAGAACGCTAGAATGTAGAAATAATTTCAAACTTAGTTTAGAAGGTTTAAAAATGTAAAAAGTTGAAATTTGACAGTATATCGTTAACTGATGAGAGCTTTATTGACAAAGAAAATTCAATTTTTGAAAAAATATATCTAAAATCAGATATTTATGAACTCAATTAAATTTTATCTGAGATTTAATTGAATTTATGGAGGGTTAGATTGTAAGAAAAAATAATTTTTAAGTCAATTTATACTTTTACTGAAATAAATTAAAGTTTTATGGTCCAATTATAATTTTGAAGAGTTGACTTGATAAAAAAAAAAGTTTAATCGTATAATTATTGAAGTTTGATAGCCAATTAAAAATTTAATTAAAATAATCCAAAATCAAGAACCAAACCGACAGGGGGGGGGGGGGGGACGAGATAGAAGGGGAAAATAAAGGAAAACAAAGAGAACTAGGGGTAGAAGGAGACAGGGAGAACGAGATGGTAAAGAAAAAAAACAAAGGAGGAGACAGGGGGGAACGAGAGAGGAGAAAGAAGAACAGAAGAGAGAACACAATGGGAAATTCAGGAGAGTGAAACACAAAGGAAGGCCGCACGAGGATATAGAAACAGAAGAGCAAAGCAATGGCAGAAGGAGAAACCGAACGGCGAATCCAAAACACAAAAACAGCAGGGGAGGTTAACATCACCATTGGTTTCCTTTCTCCAGAAGCAGGTATGTTCATGTACTTTCTTCGCAACAATCGACACCAGGTTTGTATAGAAAAAAAAAAAGAAAAGAAACAGGAGACGAAAGTAAGCCAAAAGATCGCCATTTCGTTTTTGCTTTGTTAATAACCAGGGGTCTTCGTTTTTGCTATCTGCAAAAACGAAGGATGAACAGTGCGAAGGTAAATATATAATTACATTCGCACTGTTCCATGCACGCGTAGAATTTTACGCGTGCATGGCTTAGCTGGGTCAAGCCATATGGGTGGCTGGGTCCAGCCCTCTTATAACTTGAAAAATATAAAAAATATATATATATATATATTTAAAATTTTTTTATGATTTTCTGCAAATATTTTATAATATTTTAATCAATATTGATTTATATTTTTATACTATAAAGATATAAATTTGATATTGAAATACCTGATATTTGTCAAAACATAAAAAAATAAAATATTTTGTTTTTATGCATACAACGAAATCTCTCTAAAAAATATATATAATAAAAAAAATCATATCGTATCTTCATAAAAAAAAAAATTTAACATGTATTTTGATTTTAATAATCAATTTATTAAAGTTATGAGAACTACTCATGTATTTTGATTTTAATAATCAGTTTATTAAAGTCATGAGAACTAGTTAATATTTCAAAATTTTCAAAAAAATTATTTTATTTTCTTTTAATATATGAGGTTACAACCTTATACATAAAACATATTCTGGATATTAAATTATTTGTTAACGTTAGAATGATTAAGTTTTATCCAATAAGATATGAATTTTTTTACCAAAGAGAACTTTTTCTTAAACCATAGACGGACTAACAACTAGAAAACACAACAAGACTTTAAATTTTATCAGACAATAAAACAATGCAGCTTATCTTAGATAGGGCGTATTTTGAGTGCTAACACCTTCTCTTTATGCAACCAGTTCCCATACCCGATCTCTAAGACCAGTTAGGGTTTCTAATGATCAAAATCCTAGGTGGCGACTTCCATTCTAATTTTTCATTGATAAAAGATAAGAATTTCTTCTCTTCCACGTAGGTCATTTTAAATAAAATTATGAGGGTGAATATTCTCGTCATGATACTGCACACGTGCGATAACATAGATGGAGAGAGATTTATGGATTTACCCATTTGATCTTTAAAGATCACGTTTTAGTTTCTTAGTAGCTCACCTTCTCTATTAATGCACGTTAGGTGTTAATGTATAAACTACTTTCAGGTCTGCAGCGCTACTGTGAAAGGGGAATTTTACACTGAGACATTAAGGGATCAAACTTATTAATTGATAAAAATAGGATTCTAAAGATTGCTGATTTTATGCTTTCAAATTATTGTTCTCCTAAACAGAAGCAACTTCTCATAAGCCGAGTTGTGACACTTCGGTACAAAGCTCCTGAGTTGTTGTTGGGTGCTACAGACTATGTAATTGGTATCGATCTCTGGAGTGCTGGATGTCTCTTGGCAGAGATGTTTGCAGGTAAGCCATTCATGCCAGGAAATGATCGTGAACTGGGTATTTATTAGCAACATAACCTGGGAAAATACCATTGGTTCTTCCTTACAGTGTCTAGTCTCATTAGTTATCTCACATGATCAACTCTGAAACACCAAGGTTGAGCACCTGTATAGGACTTTTAAACTATGTGGAACTCGATTAGAGGACTGACACGATGAAAAGATTAATATCTTCTTTCAAGTGCAGAAATGTCGAAGTAATAAATAACCCGACAAGACCGAGGTCGAACCACAGGGAGGTTAATTGTACAAATTATAAATAACAATAATACAACAA